AGCAATCCTCCACCATTTCTCTTCAAACTTATTCCTACAGTTTCTCATCAAGATTACCCACAAGTTCTATGAAGGAATAGAGTGCTGAAGGTGCCTAGAATCCATTCCCCTAATTCAATCCGCCATTGAAGAACTTCAAGAAAAACTTGAAAATCCAATCCGTGGATACATGATGACTCGTCGAGCAAGAATGATTCCAATCTGTTTCTGCACCTCCAAGGAATGTTAAATAAAAGCTCTGCCTTATTTAGTTAGGTTTGTAAAAACATATGAGTTCACGCGAATGGAGGAGCGTGATTCTAGGGGCCATTGTTTTGGCAGAGTGGCGGAGTCTTCGTCCACTTATTCTATTTGTGTATATTTGGTTTTTCTATTTTTGTAATTAGATTTATTATTTAAACCATTCAACGGATGTAAAATAATATATTGAGTCTTCAGCATTACCAGCGAATCTCTCTCTCTCTCTCCTTTTACTTCCGCTAATTTTTCCTTCGAAGAAACCTTCGGCCAATTTTTTTTCGTCGACATCCGATTTGCCAGAGTCAACAAGTGGTATCAGAGCCTGGTTGAAGCGATCGGTAGTATACCATCACAGAGGAGCCAACCTATCAACAAACAAGTTGAATAGCTCAAGTGGTTAGAGCGTCGATCTAATAACACACAGGTCTTAGGTTCGAGTAGAAGAAAATGCAAAGCACAAAAATAAATACATCGTGGGGCCCATCTCAAGCAGGCTCGCTCACTCCTCCACGCCGCCAAGTGCCGGCATCTCCATCACCACCACGAAGAGGCCGTGGCCGACATCGTGATGACGGGCGTCGAGTAGTTGTTGAGCGAGTGATCAGAGAGACAACGACCGCCGTCGTTCAGTACCCGATGTTGACAAGGTCCAACTACAACGAGTGGGCCTTGTTGATGCGTGTTAACCTACAGGCGCAAGGGTTATGGCACGCTGTCGAGCCAGAGGAAGGAGAAACAATCGAGTACCGGGAGGATCGGCTGGCGTTCGCCGCCATATTACGATCTGTGCCCCCAGAGATGCTGGCTTCTCTTTCCACCAAGCGCACCGCACAATCGGCCTGGGAGGGAATCAAATCCCGTCGGGTCGGTGTACAGCGAGTGCGGGAATCCAACATCGAGCAACTGCGAAAGGAGCTCTCGGAGATTCGCTTTAAGGACGGCGAATCCGTCGATGATTTTTCAATGCGGATCACGGGGCTCGCCAACAGCAACACCACCCTCGGTGGTGGCATCAGCGAGACAGAAATCGTGAAGAAGATGTTGCAGGTCGTTCCCGATCACCTCGAGCAAGTCGCGATTTCAATCGAGACATTGCTTGACGTGAACGACCTAACAGTGGAAGAGGTGACCGGAAGACTACGTAACGTCGAGCAGCGGAAGAAGAATATCACTTCAGCTGTTGACAAGGAGGGCCGTCTACTCCTCACGGAGGAGGAATGGCTTGCACGCCTAAAGCTCCGCGACAACACCGGCGAGAGCAACGGGTCCTCCTCCAGCCGCAAAGGCGGTAAGAAGCCATGGATGTCCCACGGGCGCACGCGCGGGAAAGATGAGAATCAAAAGAAGGAGTCGACCAATGGCAGGCCGATCCATTGCTCGAACTGTGGGAAGAGAGGACACCTGGGCAGAAATTGCTGGAGCAAGCTGAGGAATAAGGAGAAGGCCGAAAAGGCCCAGGCCCATGTGGCTCAATCCGAGGAGGACGAGCCAGCTCTCTTCATGGTAACCGCATGCGTCCCCAATTTCGATTCCAACTCCGACGACGATCTTGAACCCAAGAAAGAGCTCCAGTTGGGCGTAGCAAAGCTGGCACCAACTGGGGAGCCAATTCAACTGGAGGAGGAGCGAGTGTTCGCTCAGATCGGCGAAAGGGACGAGCAACACGAGCACCAGCAATGGATCCTTGACACAGGGGCAACAAACCATATGACCGGGGCTAGATCTGCGTTCTCCGAGCTCGACTCGGGGATCCGTGGGACGGTGAAATTCGGCGACGGCTCCGTCGTCGAGATCGAAGGGCGCGGCACCATCCTGTTCGTCAGTAAGGGAGGCGAGCATCGCAAGCTGACCGACGTCTACTTCATCCCGAGGCTCAAGGCTAACCTTGTGAGCCTGGGTCAGCTCGATGAGACAGGCTGCTTCATTTCCATCGAGCGCGGACTACTGAAAATCTGCGATAATCAACGACGGCTGCTCACGCAGGCAAGACGAACCACAAACCGTCTTTACATCCTGGAGTTAGAGATAGACCAACCCGTTAGCCTCTCGGCCAAGACCGAAGAGGTATCTTGGAGGTGGCACGCAAGGTACGGACACTTAAACTTTCCTGCCCTAGAAAAGTTACAGAAGAAGGAGTTGGTGCACGGCTTGCCAGAAATCAAAGGCGTGAACAAGCTGTGCGACGGGTGCCTCATCGGCAAACAGAAGCGCACACCCTTTCCGTCTCGAACAGCCTACCGAGCCGATGAGCCATTGGAGCTTGTACACGGCGATATTTGCGGGCCCATCAAGCCGGCGACCCCAGGCGGTAAGAGTCTCTTCCTCCTGTTAGTCGATGACAAAAGCCGCTTCATGTGGCTGACTTTGCTGCAAGCGAAAAGTGAGGCGGCAGAGGCGGTTAAGCGCATTAAAGCGCGAGCGGAGGCCGAATGTGAGAAGAAGATGCGAGTGCTGCGCACAGACCGTGGCGGAGAATTCACCTCGGCAAGTTTCAGTAAGTACTGCGATGAGGTCGGCATACAACGGCACCTAACGGCGCCCTACTCCCCCCAACAGAACGGAGTGGTAGAGCGCCGAAATCAGACCATTGTCGGGACAGCGAGGTCATTGTTGGTGACGGCCGGGATGCCTGGGAGATTCTGGGGAGAGGCAGTAATGACGGCTGTCTATCTCCTCAATCGGTCACCAACCCGAAGCCTCGACGGGAAGACGCCATATGAAGCCTGGTACAACAAAAAACCAACAGTACACCATTTTCGCGTGTTCGGCTGCGTCGCATACATGAAGGTAACACGTCCCCATCTCGCCAAGCTCGATCCCAGGGGGCTGAAGGTCGTCTTCATCGGCTACGAACCCGGGAGCAAGGCGTACAGACTCTATGATCCTGTGGGGGGGCGAGCTCACGTGTCTCGCGACGTCGTCTTCGACGAAAGCACCTTCTGGCAGTGGAATGACGTGATCGAGGCAGACCGTAATCCAAATCAATTCACGGTGGAGTACCTCGTCACTGAGCCTGAAGAAGGAGGAGCCCAGCATCAGGAGACGTCACCGCCGCCAGCAGGTGCACCACATGAACCAGTGGAATTCGCAACACCACGGACTGCGGATTCGACGCTGGATGCCGATCACGATACTGATCTGGAGGCTAGGTACCGGAGGATGGATGACCTAGTGGGAGGAGGTGAACCACCTGGACTAGCAGCGCGCGAGCTCGAGGAAGTGGCCGAACTACATGCCGTCAGTGCAGATGAACCAAACACCTTCGCCGAAGCAGAAAAGAACCCGTGCTGGCGGAAGGCAATGCAGGAGGAGATGACATCCATCACTGAGAACCAGACGTGGAGTCTGGAGGATATGCCACCGGGACACCGAGCCATAGGGCTCAAATGGGTCTTCAAACTGAAGCGCAACGAAAAAGGAGAAGTTGTGAAGCACAAGGCTCGTCTGGTGGCGAAGGGCTACGTCCAGAAGCAAGGAGTGGATTTCGAAGAGGTATTTGCGCCAGTAGCAAGGTTAGAATCCGTTCGTTTCCTGCTGGCAATTGCAGCACATCACTCTTGGGAGGTTCACCATATGGACGTAAAGTCTGCTTTCCTTAACGGAGAGTTGAAGGAGACCGTCTATGTTCGACAACCACCTGGCTTCCTGGATAACGACAACCCTAATAAGGTACTGCGCCTGCACAAAGCACTCTACGGGCTTCGACAAGCCCCACGAGCCTGGAACGCGAAGCTCGACAGTACCCTACTGTCACTGAATTTCAAACGTTGTGCCTCTGAGCATGGCATGTACACGTACGGCCACGGCAAAAAGCGACTGATCGTGGGAGTGTACGTCGACGACCTCATAATCACTGGAGGCGACGTGGGAGTCCTCGGAAGGTTCAAGAAGGAGATGTCGAAAAACTTCGAGATGAGCGATCTCGGTGTGCTCAGCTACTACCTCGGCATCGAAGTGCAACAGAACTCTTCCGGCATCTCCATCTGCCAAAGTGCATACGCGAGAAAGCTGCTGGACACAACTGGGCTTATGGACAGTAATCCTACCAGGACGCCAATGGAGGCCCGACTTCAACTAAGGAAGGCCGGCACTACGACGACAGTCGACTCCACCAATTACCGCAGCATTGTCGGGAGTCTGCGCTATCTGGTAAACTCTCGTCCTGATCTTGCTTATTCTGTTGGATATGTGAGTAGGTTTATGGAAGCACCTAGGGAGGAGCATCTAGTGGCTGTCAAGCGCATCCTGCGCTATGTAGCCGGAACCAGAGACTGGGGCGTAAGATACTGCGCTGGGAGCGAAAAGGAGAAACTCAAACTGGTCGGCTACAGCGATAGTGACATGGCCGGTGACGTTGATGATCGTAAGAGCACCAGCGGAATGATCTACTTTCTCTCAGGCGGCGCGATCTGCTGGCAATCAACAAAACAGAAGGTAGTTGCTTTGTCTTCCTGCGAAGCAGAATACATCGCCGCTTCGATGGCAGCAACTCAAGGGATCTGGCTTGCACGACTAATGGAAGAAATCATCGGGAGAGAAAGCGATCCACCAATGCTATACATAGACAACAAAGCTACGATCTCCCTGATCAAAAATCCAGTTTTGCACGACCGGAGCAAGCACATAGAAATCAGATTCCACTACATTCGAGAATGTGCAGATCGAGGGCTCATCAAAATTGATTTCATCCGAACAGAGGAACAACTTGGAGACATTTTCACCAAATCCCTGGCGCGGGTGAAATTTGAAGAACTACGCTCAAAGATCGGAGTTCAAATAATAAGGTACAGCTTTTAGGAGGAGATTGTTAAATAAAAGCTCTGCCTTATTTAGTTAGGTTTGTAAAAACATATGAGTTCACGCGAATGGAGGAGCGTGATTCTAGGGGCCATTGTTTTGGCAGAGTGGCGGAGTCTTCGTCCACTTATTCTATTTGTGTATATTTGGTTTTTCTATTTTTGTAATTAGATTTATTATTTAAACCATTCAACGGATGTAAAATAATATATTGAGTCTTCAGCATTACCAGCGAATCTCTCTCTCTCTCTCCTTTTACTTCCGCTAATTTTTCCTTCGAAGAAACCTTCGGCCAATTTTTTTTCGTCGACATCCGATTTGCCAGAGTCAACAAGGAATGCTTCCATAGAAGGCCACGAAAAAAAATAACCTTGAGAGCGTGCTGAATTGAAGGAAATAGGTTTCGAAATTAAATTGGGGATAAGAGTCGAATTCCTAACTACGATCTCTGTTCCTTTAAATTAAGGATTCCTCTAGCTTCAGAAGAAGAAGTTGAGTAAACTTGATGAAGGAATCGAGAGCTGAAACGTCATAGAACAAGCTACCCACGAGATTGAAAATCTGGCATTTCAAGTGAGTTGCATACCGAGAACGATTTCTAGAAATTAAGATCCTACACTCAAAGACGTTCCTCCAAACCAATTCCTTTAGCCTGAAGAAAGGATATGGAAGAGGTTCAATGAAGAAATAGGGCCTTGAAACTTCTAGAATCAACTACCTAATAAGAAATCCTTGACTTTATCTCCAGCGAAAAATCAGATGACTTTGGAAGCGAATATCTTAGGCTACGATCCACGAGAATGTATCAAATAAATTCCTAGCGAATATCTTACCCAATAAGTTTCACGAAGAAATCGAGGAGAGAAATGCTGTACATGTGGCTGTACAGGCTGAGTTTCAGATGGCGGATATGCGAAAAATGCGCATCTTCTTCCTGTTTAAAGGAAGAAAACGATGATACGGGCAGTTCAACTAAATTGTCCAAGTCAACTCAAAATTTGATCTTTTCACAGGTTTTCTCAATTTTAACCCCATTCCGGACCGATTCTCATGAAAAATATTATGATTTCATAAACTGACACAATAGGGAGTATGTGGAAGTAAATTTGAAGTAATTCAGATACTGGAAGCTCAAGAATGGAGGTCCCAAACGTCGACGACGAGGCAAGTAGCCCCCTTGGACTCTTTGTTAAGAAATACTGGTAGAAATCTCTTGGATTTGCCTCCTTGGACTCTTTGTTAAGAAATACTGGTAGAAATCTCTTGGATGGATTTGCCCCCTTGGATTCTTTGTTAAGAAATACTGGTAGAAATCTCTTGGATGGATTTGCCCCCTTGGACTCTTTGTTAAGAAATACTGGTAGAAATCTCTTGGATGGATTTGCCCCCTTGGACTCTTTGTTAAGAAATACTGGTAGAAATCTCTTGGACTCTTTGTTAAGAAATACTGGTAGAAATCTCTTGGACTCTTTGTTAAGAAATACTGGTAGAAATCTCTTGGACTCTTTGTTAAGAAATACTGGTAGAAATCTCTTGGACTCTTTGTTAAGAAATACTGGTAGAAATCTCTTGGACTCTTTGTTAAGAAATACTGGTAGAAATCTCTTGGACTCTTTGTTAAGAAATACTGGTAGAAATCTCTTGGACTCTTTGTTAAGAAATACTGGTAGAAATCTCTTGGACTCTTTGTTAAGAAATACTGGTAGAAATCTCTTGGACTCTTTGTTAAGAAATACTGGTAGAAATCTCTTGGACTCTTTGTTAAGAAATACTGGTAGAAATCTCTTGGACTCTTTGTTAAGAAATACTGGTAGAAATCTCTTGGACTCTTTGTTAAGAAATACTGGTAGAAATCTCTTGGACTCTTTGTTAAGAAATACTGGTAGAAATCTCTTGGACTCTTTGTTAAGAAATACTGGTAGAAATCTCTTGGACTCTTTGTTAAGAAATACTGGTAGAAATCTCTTGGACTCTTTGTTAAGAAATACTGGTAGAAATCTCTTGGACTCTTTGTTAAGAAATACTGGTAGAAATCTCTTGGACTCTTTGTTAAGAAATACTGGTAGAAATCTTGGATTTGCCCCCTTGGACTCTTTGTTAAGAAATACTGGTAGAAATGTCTTGGATTTGCCCCCTTGGACTCCTTGTTAAGAAATACTGGTAGAAATGTCTCGGATTTGCCCCCTTGGACTCCTTGTTAAGAAATACTGGTAGAAATTAGAAATCTTGGATTTGCCCCCCTTGGACTCCTTGTTAAGAAATACTGGTAGAAATGTTGGACTCCTTGTTAAGAAATACTGGTAGAAATGTTGGACTCCTTGTTAAGAAATACTGGTAGAAATGTTGGACTCCTTGTTAAGAAATACTGGTAGAAATGTTGGACTCCTTGTTAAGAAATACTGGTAGAAAATGTTGGACTCCTTGTTTAGAAATACTGGTAGAAAATGTTGGACTCCTTGTTAAGAAATACTGCCCTTGGACTCCTTGTTAAGAAATACTGCCCTTGGGCTCATTGTTAAGAAATACTGGTAGAACTCCTTGTTAAGAAATACTGGTAGAACTCCTTGTTAAGAAATACTGGTAGAAAATGTTGGACTCCTTGTTAAGAAATACTGGTAGAAATGTTGGACTCCTTGTTAAGAAATACTGGTAGAAATGTTGGACTCCTTGTTAAGAAATACTGGTAGAAATGTCTTGGATTTGCCCGGACTCCTTGTTAAGAAATACTGGTAGAAATGTCTTGGATTTGCCCGGACTCCTTGTTAAGAAATACTGGTAGAAATGTTGAACTCCTTGTTAAGAAATACTGGTAGAAATGTTGGACTCCTTGTTAAGAAATATTGGTAGAAATGTCTTGGATTTGCCCCTTCGACTCCTTGTTAAGAAATACTGGTAGAAATGTCTTGGATTTGCCCCCTTGGACTCCTTGTTAAGAAATACTGGTAGAAATGTCTTGGATTTGCCCCCTTGGACTCCTTGTTAAGAAATACTGGTAGAAATGTCTTGGATTTGCCCCCTTGGACTCCTTGTTAAGAAATACTGGTAGAAATTGGTAGAAATGTCTTGGATTTGCCCCCTTGGACTCCTTGTTAAGAAATACTGGTAGAAATTGGTAGAAATGTCTTGGATTTGCCCCCTTGGACTCCTTGTTAAGAAATACTGGTAGAAATTGGTAGAAATGTCTTGGATTTGCCCCCTTGGACTCCTTGTTAAGAAATGGTAGAAAGGATTTGCCCCCGGTAGAAATGTCTTGGATTTTCCCCCTTGGACTCCTTGTTAAGAAATGGTAGAAAGGATTTGCCCCCTTGACTCCTTGTTAAAAAATACTAGTAGAAATCATTTGCCCCTTGGACTCTTTGTATTTGCCCCCTAATACAGAGCATATGGAATTTGATGGTCATTCGATAAGTAAACAAGAAATGTCTTGTGTTGTCATTCCTTATTTTGTTATTTCGCATCAAGGTGATTTCTTAAATAAAGATCCTACCGGGAGTTGAACCCAGGTCGTTGGTTTCAAAGTCAAAAGTGCTAACCACTACACCATAGAACACCTTGTAAAACTTTGTTTTGGAATGGTTTTCCTATTTTATGCAGATTCCACAAGAAGAGAGATCCTATCACGAGTCAAACTCAAGTTATTGGATTCGAAGTTCTAGAGCTATTTTATCTAACGCATTGTAATCTTGAGCACGTTTAGAGTGGTTGCAGAAGTTACCTCCAGTGTTGATCGAAGCTCTTTGAGAACATGTAATTTTATATATTTCTTATAGTTAATTTATATATTGTTGTATATTACAAACAAATTGAAATAATATTTTACATCTCGGTCTTTCTTTCTTCCATGCAAAACTTAACATGAAAACTATATTATTTCAATATTCCTTCGAGAAACAAGGGTTGAAAACTATATTATTTCAAACCCTCCATTATTGCTTCTACCTTGCATAAAAATGCTTCCACTAAATCATGTTACTAACTAGTTGGTTTTGTTCGGTTCAATTCTTGGGACCACTATATTGAATCGATCTATCTCAATTAAACTCTTGATAATATAAAAATCATAAGTTTCTTAAATTACGTTAACTTAAATGTTTTGTCTATGAACAAAGTGTCGGTCTAAAATAAAAGGGCCCAACCAAATTCAAATTGGTGACCTCTTAATCTGCAATCAAATGCTCTACAGCTATGGACCCATTTTGCACGATTTCAACCTTAGTTATCCCTTCTACAGAGTGTCAGTCCAAATGTGTAAAAAGTGTTTGTCCAAAATAGAAGAGCCCAACCAAGTTCAAACTGGTGACCGGTCAAATTCTCTACCACTGAGCCATGGATCCATTTTGTAGGATTTTAACCTTAGTGACAACTTAGACATAGTGTCGGTCCAAAAAGTGTAACAAATTTCTATCCAAGATAGAAGGGCCCAGCTAGGTTCGAATTGGTGACCTCTTGATCTGCAGTCAAATGCTACCAAATAACTCTTAGATTGAACTTGGAATCTAAGATCGTCACTCTTAGATTCCAAGGCGACTCACTCAAGAATTAGCTTGATCATGACTAATCCAATGAATAGATTTTAACACCAAACCTAAAACAAAGTTTGAAAGAAACATAACACCCAAATGGTTTCAAACACAAAGTTTTTGTATTCCATAATGTTTTCAAACTTGAATATTACAAGCATTTAATACACTAAAATGATAATTCAAACATAATGTAGTTCATCTACAAACTACCAAAAGCTATTATTGAAGAAAATAAGACATAACATAAATAATCTTAAATGTAATTGAACTCCAAAGGATAAAATGTCTTCAAATTACATTCAAATATCAAAGTGATATTTTATTGCCACTCAATTGTTTTCTTGATTTATTGTAATTGAACTTAAAAGTGTAACAAATACGCTCGATTTATTTTAAATTTCCTTTAAAAATTTTGTACACAAGAGTACAATGGAAATAATATATATTTTTTACTGTTTTGTAATTTGTATGGTATTATTCGAGGCTTTTGAATGAAATATGATAATTTGTAGTGTTTGATGCTTTTTGATTTAACCCTTGGGTTCTATTTACGGTGAACATGTGATAATTTTTCTCAAATTATATATTTGAATACCTAATACATTAAGATATAATATTTTATTTAAATAATATTAAAATGTCGTAGAATATCATAATATATGTTTAATTAATATGAATCTCATTCAAATTTCAAATATATATTTTTATTTAATGTTTATGATACACATCAATTATTTTAATATTTAACATATAAAATACGTTAATATGTTTTGATATTATACTTCAAGACTATAGGAACTTGC